TAAAATCAATATAAATAGCCTCCAACATTGCCTGGTTCAAATCCTCCTCCTCAACATATAACAGGAAAACACGTTCTTCCTAGTTTTCTCTGTATTTTCCCTCTTCTCACAACAAAAACCACAAGATGCACTTCACCATGTCTCTCCCAAAACCCCCTTCTGAAATATCCTGTTTTCATCCCGCCTTTGCTTCTTGCCACCCACTCTCTTCCCAGGCTGCCCAATGACCACCGACCTTCCGTACGTCGTCGATCGGTCTTTTTCTTCAAAAATATCGATGCTGTCATATGTGTATGATCCGTGTGAGATTTCATGAATATTATTACAAAATATTTCATGAAGGTTAAAAAATTAATTTTTTCTTATTTATTTGACTAGGTTGGAAGTGGCAAAGAAAAATCATAACACTACCCCTGGCCTCTTGGCCGAGTGGTATGTAGGTGTGTGTTTGGGTATGTGTGTGGGGGTTTGAGCCCGCTCCTTGCATCACCAAAAAAAAAATCATAACACTTTAATCATACATATCTATCAAGTGTTAGTTTAGTAATTTACTTAAATGAAAGAAATCAAAATAAATTAGTTAATTATAATAAGTGCGATATAATTTTATCAAAATAGACTTATATCACATTAAATTATATATCAGTTTATGAGTTAAGTAAATTAATTTTAAAAAATGATAAATATAATAAAAAAATTAAATTGAGATGTTATATTTAAATTTTAAAATTAAATTTAATTCTTAATTAACTTTTTTTCATATATATGTATAAGTGGGTTTTGTAATGAAAAAACAATATTGTTTCCTATTGCCAAAGAGAACCCACAAAAAAAAAAAAAAAACCTCACTTTCAATCCTATTTAAAAGTACCGTCCACGTTAAGTGGCTTTTATAATAAAGATTCAAACATTCATTCGTGCGTTACCAGCTCCTTCAAAACCTAACTGATGATGGATGCGTGGCGAATGAATGGTTCCAGAGTAAAGTGCATAGGAATTTTGGGTTGGGTGCCTCATTGGGCCATGTAACCATCTCTTTCCAATCCCAGCCCAGTAGTACAAAAGTTAAAATATTTAATACAACAATTCAATTTATTATGGATTCACTTTTTTCATTAGGTTTTTTAAAATATAAAATAATTTTCTTTTTATCTATACAACTTGGATTGGCGTTTCTGAATATAATTATATATTACCTCTGGTCATTCATAAAATCTATAATCGAAAACAAAAGGTTTCCAATTTCTCCTCAAAGCCCCTCTGCTTTGTTGGCTTTTAAAAGCTCTATTGGCCTCTTAATCCTAATTAACGCGACACAAATTGTAAACTAGCAATCTATACCTTCTTAATTCTCCAATTTTCCTTGTTATCTTTTAATATCCAAATAAAAAAAAATCTTCCTTCCTATATTTGGGTAAAAGGATCAGTTATTTTTTGTCCTTTTCCTTTTACGCCAACATAGGATTAGTGACAACAAGTTGAGTGTTCAAATGTGTTTTGGCCTCTTAATTAATTGTTCAGAGTTGACATCTATTTTATATGTATATCCTCATATTTTACACGATTGTTGTAATTAAGTGAATATACGTAAATGAGGAAAAGGGCCACCAATAAACTCATATGTTAATGCTCTGTCTAAAACAGAAAAAACTTAAATGTCAATGCATTGAATATTTACCACATGAATGGCATCTCGCTTGCAAGGATGTCGCTTTTAAATAACTTATCTTCCAGTTTCCGTTACGTAGCTCCAAATGTTGCTTAGTTAATCCCCAACTGGCTGCTCCCTTTTTCTCTTTATTCTCATTCTCAGTCCCACTAAGAACGCGATGCAGATTCCGACCACATTCTCGTCTGCTAATGACCATAGTCGACGTGATAAATTTTTATGCACAAAAATTATTAATATTTTTTAAATTTTATACACGTAGAGTATCGGTATTGTAGTTTATATCCTTCACGCTAATAAATTTTTCGGTGAGTCATTTTTCTCCAATTTTTCCCATTTTATTTTTAAATCTAAAATTTTTTATTTAACATACCTTCTTTGAAAAAAGTTGTCCATATAAAAACTACTTTTTATTTTTTTTTAACAAAAAAAAAGCTAATTTTATTTAGGGGGAGTTTCGCAACCATAAAAATATTTTTTATAAATTAAGATAAACTCTTTCACATATTTATTTATTTCATATTTTGTAAAAATATTTTGATTCTATTCAAAAGCCCTTTTAATAGCACACGGTAAAATGTTCAGTGTCCACGTGTCCCCACCGCGGAAAGCCAGAAGCTTCCTCCCGAGTACCATCCTGCTATCCCTTCGTTCTTTGGTCAAGATCGGAAATTCCTTAACCCATCGACTTTATCGCCACCGTCCACGTGTCCCCACCGAACACGAACAGAACTGGGCATGTCAAGTGAATCCTCACCAGATATTTCAACCCGAAAATTGCTAAATTTTGACTCAATAAAAAGGGATATTACACTGAAATTTAATAAAATAATATTCAATTTTCTTAAAATCCAAGTTCCACGTCATGTAGGCCGGTTAATATGCAAATAAATACACATAAACTTAATCAAATTGCAAGATTAGATAATAGAAACTATATTTTGAATATGTAATTTCAAAATTGACAAATAAAAATGTTAGCATTAATAGGAAAATAATTTCTTATATTTTTTTTATACTATATAATTTCTTATATTTTAAATTCAATCATGAGGCTCCAATAATTTACCAAAAAATTAATACGTTGGGCATTCTAATCTAGACCCACCAAGCAAAACCAGTAGGTTTTTGGGTACCACCGGCTGAAGCTAAAATTTCATTAAGACAGCATTTAAAGTTCAATCCTAATCCAAAAATAAATAAATAAAAGGGAAACGCGACTCGCTTTTGGCTTTTGGCCTAAGCCATGAACTCGTTATTAGACATTTACATGACAAAATTTATCTCCCAAAAAGCAGAACACAGGCCTTTTGATGGAACTGTCAGCATCAGATTAATTGGCAATGCAAAGTTGCAAATGACATACATATGAGAAACCATGATGAAAGAAGTCTATATTATAGGGGTGTTCAATTTGTCCCGTCCCGGTCTCAGTAAGTTTAGGACGGGACGGGACGGAACAAAAAAAATTTCAGGACGGGACAAAAACGGAACGGGATGGGACAGTAACCGGGACAGGATGGGACGCGGGACGGGATCGTCCCGTTCCGGGATTTTTTTTCTTTTAAAAATTATTTATTAATAATTATTATTAGATTATTTAATTTACTTATTAATAATAAGTCTTGTTTTTATGGTGATTTGTAGCTCTTAAATTGTAGTATTATCTCAACAAAATCTCCTTCCTTAATAAAATAATTCATAAAGTCATTATATAGTGTTTTTTTTACGGTATTTTTTTACAGTATTATTTTTATACATTTTTTATGCTATATAATTGAGCTTTCTACGTAATATTTTTTTATAATATTTTTTATCTTTAGAAGCCCAAAAAAAATAAGTATTAGAACATAAAAAAAATTCATATAAAAATTATAGTTTTTTTTTTAAAAAAAGGGAGGCGGGACATCCCGGTTCCGACGGGACCGGGACAGAACCGGGACGAGACGAGACACAGGACAAAATCCCTGTCCCGTCCCTGTTCATCAGGATGGGCCTGTCCCGGTCCCATCCCGTCCTATGAGCACCCCTACTATATATTGTTTGTAGTTTATACTTTTTTCTTGGGACTGTGGGGAAAAAGAGAGGGAGAGAGGAGAATTAGTATAAGGTTCTCGAAAACAAAATGCAATTATTAAAAAGTTTCACAATAATTAAATAATACATAATGATTATACTACTCCTAGTTCTAATTATAAAATTTTATAATTAGTATTAGAAGTAGTATTTCAATATAAAAAAATAACATATTATTATATACTCTTCTAATCTTAAATATAAGATCTTTATATTAGTGTGTATAAAAATGTTATATTTATGACCGGAGAAATATTTGTTATGACGCTGGTTACCTTGTTTTCTTCACTCAACGAGCTACGATTTATTTTTATTTCTCTTTCAAATTTAATATTTCGTTCAATATGATATAATGTTCCCGTCACCTCACTGCCGAGCACCCAACCCAACGAGAAGCTTCCACCCTCTTGCACTCTTATCCATCACTCACCATTTTCCTGTTTTCACTTTTTTTTTTCAAGCCAACGAAAAAAACAGTTTTTCCGTTTTTTTAAAAAAACCTCAACCTATCATCCTTATCATCACCGTCCACGTGGCCCCCGAACCGACATAAAGAGGGGGTTCTTTTGGCTAGTAGTAGAAGAGGATATTCGGATTCCCCCCGTCATATTTTTCAAAAACAACCCACTAACTCTTCGTATATTTATACAAGGTCCAAAACTATTTACAAAGGAGATTGTACTCAAATGTTAAATGTGGGTTGACGTGACTTGGCATGAAGATAAATCTCTCATCCAATAGTTATTGGCTTGTTTGGAATCACATTTAAAAACACTTATAAATACGTTTTATATTAATTAAGATAAAATTCTTCTCATATACTTATATTATATTTTATAAATTATTATTAAAAACTATTTATAAATTATTTCAAATGAGTTTTATATGCAGTTACGCACCATCTTGCTGCTGCTGGTTTTTAAGTAGACATTCTATTCTTTCCAAATACCCCACGAATCCAAGAATCCGAATTCCACTCAGATGATCTATTAAAAAAAAGGAGGTTCGAAATAATATAAATAATATATTTTTATTAAAAAATTATATCTTCTATATATTAAGGTCAGAAAATATATTTCCTATACAGTATACGTGGATAATAATTCACTCCAACAAATTAGAAAGATACTGCTGATATCGTTTTTTAAGTTAATAAATAATTTCCATGACTCAGTTCCCCGCCAATATATATACAACGCATTAGCGCAAAACTCACTGAACGAGCGCGGCCGGAAAGAGAAACAAAAATCCAGGTGTTCTGTAAACCTGAGCCCGACTCCGAGATGCCCGCCATCACCAATGGCACGAACCCCGAGCTCCGATCGCCGCTGCTACCTCTGACGGACGCCAAGAAGTCTGCCGGTGAAACCGAACCGGAGAAGGTCTCCATCGACGACATGCTCCGGCGGCACTGCGGCGAGTTCGGGCCGTGGCAGCTCCGGCACTTCGTGCTAACGAGCCTCGCCTGGGCTCTCGAGGCTTTCCACACCATGGTCATGATCTTCGCGGACCGCGAGCCCGATTGGAGGTGCATCGGCGGCTCGGGCTGCGACTCAACGGCGACGAGCGTGTGCGGCCTCGGACCCGGGTCGTGGGAGTGGGTCGGGGGCCCGGCAACCTCGACAGTCGCAGAGTGGGGTTTGTTTTGCGGAGAGAAATATAAGGTCGGCGTGGTCCAGGCCATCTTCTTCGGCGGCTGCATGATCGGTCAGTTCCAGTTTTTCTGATTCACAATTATCCCTATTTTTAATATTTAATTTAATATTTTGAAATTTATTTCGTAGCAAAACAAAAATACAGCTTCAATAACATTTTAAGGATTCAAATAATTCAGCCCTAGTTGACCACATAGTGAAACACTGAAATGGTATATTAGGTTTGAAACGTGTCAATGCGCTTACGAAAATATTTGGTATTAGGGATTTTAAACATGATCCAATATTTTTGTTGGGCAAAATTATTTTTCAAATAAGATGGCTTTGATTTTATTCGGAGATCACAACGACTGAACGAGATAAGTACGTCTGTCAGAGTGAGTCAATAACAGATTGTTTATAGGTTTTTAAAATATAAATTCTATTATTAAAATAATGAAGAAGCGAAGTCGTCGCCAGGGATTGGCAAGTTGATCACGAGGTTATATATATATAAATATATATATATGGGGGAGCAAGCTGGATTATTTTTTATAATATCATGAACAAGATTCTTAGATGCATATTGGATATATGCAATGCATTCATTTTAAGTCCTTGTAACTGAGAGTTTATGTTATAAGCTTCAAAAAAGTGGGGGGAGAAAAAGTCATGCGGAAGCTAAAGGAAGAGGGGTTTGATGGGACCACCAAGGGGAAAGAGCGAGATGAAAAGGACAAGGCGGGGCATTGGACATTGGTACAAGGGTCCAAAAAGAGGGCTTTTAGTGCTTGTCGTTTTGCACTGGGATGGGGTGGATTAGATTTACACGGGCTGTCGTTTTGGGGGGGGTTTGAGTCGCAGAGGCTCGGAATCCCAAGTTTTGTCCGGGATCACATCAATATTGTGATTCCTCCCTGCAAAGCCTATGCAAAACGGCAAGACGTGGAGGAGAGAGACCCAGTAGAGGCCGAAAACAAGTTAGTGGATGCTAGAGACTCACGCGTTAAGATCAACAAATTAACTAATCAAAGGTTGATTTCCGTGTCGTCCAAACTAATTTAGTACTAACATGATTGGCATTTTTAAATTTTGATCCTTAAGTACAAGCCATTTGTTTATTTAATATAATATGATTACCGAGATCCATGCTTGGTGGCTTTAGTCATAAATCATCATGTGCCTGTCTTTAAAGTGGCATTATTCACACTTATAGAAGGATCTAACAAAGCGATAAAAGCATCTTTTATGGAAGTAGGGGAATATATGTGGGACCAGTGGGATGGAATAACGTGACGGGCAAAAACAGCTGCTTTCTGGGACTGAGGGCTCAAGGCTGTATAGGAGTAGTAATGAATAATGATGAACACGAGCCAGTGGCATTTGTAGCATCTTTCTGCTTCTCTTTTATCGTGTGTGCCCCATAATCCCATTACTCCCTCCTGCCAATAAGCTGCCTTGCGTTTTCATCTTTTCTTCTCCGTTGTTATTTGTCTCTTTCATTTATTTCCCAAAAGATTCCACCTTTTTTTTATTTTTATCTTCGAACTACTATGAATATTAATAATAAGATGTTGAATTAACAAAAGTGCAGATTATTTATTTGCGATGGAAGTGAAGTTAATGATGATGTGATGTTGTTGGTTTTACAGGTGCTGGAATATTCGGTCATCTCTCAGATTCCTTCCTGGGAAGGAAAGGATCTCTCACTGTGGTGTGTCTCCTCAATACCATCTTCGGTTGCTTGACGGCTGTTTCCCCTAATTTCTGGATTTACCTCCTCCTCCGCCTCCTCACCGGCTTCAGCACCGGTGGTGTTGGCCTCTGCGCTTTCGTCCTCGCCACTGAGCCCGTTGGTCCCACCAAGCGTGGCGCCGCCGGCATGTCCACCTTCTACTTCTTCTCCACCGGCATTGCACTCCTCTCCGGCATTGCCTATATCTTCCGGGAATGGCGTGCTCTCTACATCGCCTCCTCCATCCCCTCCTTCCTCTTCCTCGTCCTCGTCATCCCTTTCATATCTGAGTCCCCGAGATGGTACCTCGTCAGGGGAAGAATCAACGACGCTATGAAACTCATGTCCGACATCGCCACCACCAACGGCAAGGACCTCCCGGACGGGGTCATTCTTGCCCTCGACGATGAAACATCAGACAATGACGTTTCCGGAGGCCATACTCAGACCTGCAAGGAAGAACAGCTGGAGAACAAAGATGCTGTGACTGGGTCGATCATAGATGTTATTCGATCCCCACTAACACGGGTTCGCCTGTTTCTCGCTGTGGCCATCAACTTCTTGTGCTCGGTGGTGTACTACGGCCTGAGCTTGAATGTTGTGAATCTGGAAACCAACATATACATGAATGTTTTACTGAATGCGGTGGCGGAGATGCCGGCTTTCACGATAACGGCGTTGATGTTGGACAGATTTGGGAGGAAGCCGTTGGCGATCGGGACGTTATGGTTCAGCGGGTTCTTCTGTTTCTTGGGGAGCTTGATGAAGAACGTGGGGTTGTGGAAAGTGTTGAAGATGGTGTGCGGGATTCTGGGCATATTTGGGATGGCGGGAACGTATAATTTGCTGTTTATATACACGGCGGAGCTATTTCCAACTGTGGTGAGGAACGCGGCGCTCGGGTGCGCAACGCAGGCGGCGCAAATGGGGGCAATACTGGCACCGTTTGTGGTGGTTTTGGGCGGTGGGCTGCCGTTTGCAGTGTTTGCGGCGTGTGGAATCGCAGCGGGGGTGTTCGGGTTTTACCTGCCGGAGACGATGGACCAACCGCTCTACGATACGTTCGCCGGAATGGTGAACGGCGGATGTGCCTCCAATGTGTAAATTGTGGTGACGATGATCTTCCGTGATTTTCTAACTTTAAAGCTTTTTGATCCTTTTCAGTCTTGTTTACTTTTACTAACTACTATAGTTTAGTTTTGCCCCTCCTGATGCCTGATGTATATTACGCAATAAATTTTCCTTTCTTATAATCAAATGTCAAAACTCGTTTCTCTCTCCCTCTCTCTCTCTCTTTTTTTTTTGTTTTTGCCAGAATCAAATGTCAAAACTCAAGTAATACATCGAAAGGTTATCGATAAGAGTTTTTTTTTTTTTTTTTAACAGTAAAAGTAAAACTTGTTAAAAAGATTTCAGGTATGTGTACAGTATACCTACTAATATAAGTTTTCCAGAGTCCAGACATCTATTTGATATCGTTTGATTAGAGTTATCTTCAGATGATGTTCATTTTGAGACAATGGATTGTAGGTATTTTATTTTTTTAAAAAAGAGAAAGAGAGAAAAGTATGAAGTTATTTATGAACATCTCAAACCAATAATTCGTAAATGTCAAAAAAATTATGCTCTTAAATATGTACTGGAGAAACTTTACAATGGGCCGGATTTAGAGGTACCAAATATATTTACAGTAAAAGGGAAAAAAACAAGAAGAAGAAGAAGCTTCATTTCCACTTACAAGACGAGCTGGATCATAGAATTGATTGTGTATAAGGAGAGAGTGATCAGAACATATATGGCATGGGATAAAAGGCGGTTACAATGTTGGAACTGGAAGCACCGGCACTCCTGAAACATGCAACTAATCCTGACTACATCATTCTTAATCCCCTACTTAAATATTGCTACTCAAATCAAGTTTGTTAAGAAAAAAATTCACCTGGAATCGTAATCGTAATGAAGCGCCCTGGAGGCGTCGCTCCTCCTCATCCCTTGTTTTTCCGATCGAATGGAATCGCATCTCTGCGTCTCTACCTCGTCGTCTTCGGAAATGGGTAGTAGCGTCGGCCTCCACTTTGCCCGAGCAGCCAGCCTCCTACGCTTCAGAACATGGCGGGGCCGAAAAGAAGGCAGAGGCCTATGCGTCGGACGCCGGGGCACGAAGGACCTTCGTTTCTCACCGTAGTAGTAGGAGGAGGAGGAGGGGGAGAACGTCGCCGGAACCGGGGAGCGCGAGGCAGCGCAGCCGCAGCAGGACGCGAATTCCAATAAGAAACTCATGGATGCCCCTCCTCTCCCCCTCTGGCGCGGCTTACACCTTAGCTGAGGTCGGAGAAGACGGAAGAAGAGCGAGAGAGAATGATGGGGGTGGAAGGAGAAGGGATGGGAAGAGAATTGGGATGGCGAGAGGGAGACGCCATTGGAGAGAAAGAAGGCGGAAGGTAGTTGGGATTCTCATATGCAGAGATTTTGTGGTTGAGAGTACGAGTTTAGGTGGCGAAAACCTGTTAACAGTTTGATTCAAATATATATAATTATATACTGTATAAATAGATTTGCCCATGGATTTTGGGTTATGCTAGAGCTAGGGTTTCAAGACTTTCCCTGTTCCAATATTAGAGGATGTTGATTCACTCAAAAAATATATATATTATAGGATGTTGAAAATCCCACCACCTACGTCTGTATAAATAATGTAATTCAGTAGTTCACCTCAATTTTTGTATATAAAAATAATTTAATTTTCAGTAACTTTCATCCCGACGAAAGGGCCATATTTCTCTCGCTCCCTCCCTCTCTATACAGACGCGCACATACACACAGCGTAATACTCTCTCTGTATTGAGTCAAACAGGAAAAACTAGTCCCTCACAGGTCACCACGTGTACGCATTCTTCAATATTGGATTAATAAATTCCAGGTGATCCATTGACTTAACATGTCGACGGATTGTGTTTAATGAATAAATAATATTTGTACAGTGCAAAAATAAGAAACAATTGAGATGACAGCTGATACTTTCAACTTGGTACCAAGAGTAGCCATCAATAAGGAGACCCAATTAAAAGCCGAAACATCCTAAAATTAAATGATTCACTTTCCATTATAGATTGACCACCATTTTGTTGCTTGTCTTATTAACCTTTTTCTCCGTCGACCTAACTTAAAACTCGCTCTTATTAATTAATCATCACGGAAAAGCGCTGCATTTCTCATCCCATCTTACCATGAATTAAATTTAGAAAGACATGTTCGAATTAAAACACCATTGAAAAAATCAGAGCTTCATAAGGCCACGGCTTCCTGATCGACTGACTCGGGCCCCAAAATATTACATATCAATGAAACAACCGATCAGCACTTTTCAGATCAAAATATTATTGCCCTAGTACGAAGATAAAGTTGATACTACAGATGTATATCCACCAAACATTCAAGATCGTATGCGTTCCTGCATTAACTCAAATCCCTTTGCATTTCAATAATACTTCGTTCATAAGGTTGATCTCCCATAACAGACATGCAAAACTTTGAGGAAATAGAAGATTTCCCATGATTTTATAAAATAATGTTTTTCTTCTAATCATCAAATGTAACACCAATTCAATGAGGTACAATTACGAGGCAAATAATCGGAATTAGTACTGCTGGCCATACGGAGGAGGCATAGGTTGTCCAGGTTGTCCCGGTGGTGGTCTTGGTCTTGCATACTCCGCAAATATCACCCAACCATCCAGAAACTGCGTGTAATGAAGGAAAAGGTGAGTCGATTTTCAGATGAGTGAGTATAGCAACCAAGAATATCAACATCTGCCTAGCATAGCCAGAGATAGTTTTGTCTAGTAAGACATGCCAAACTCATAGCTAAGACCTACAAGGAGACAAGAAATATAACAAAGATATTAAACGAGCCTGTCTTGGTCAAAAAAAAAAAAAACGAGCCTGGCCATACATATGATGTTTTCAATCACAAAGCACATGTTATATCCGTTGTATTTGCCACTGCCATGTCAAACTAGCATATGTGACCTAAAACGTTCATATTATGGCAGCAGGAGCAAAAAAAGTCCTAGAGTTCAAAGCTATATAATGAATTCCAAGCAAGAGTAGAGAAATGACGATTCTGAGGAAAACTCGTATTCAGACTTGGGTGCATATCATCATTAGATGAGTGCAAAATTTCTGCTTCACAAGAGGGAAAACAAAGTTGGCATCTTCAGACAATATTGCTTTTATCTTCTAGGGTGCCGAATTCAAATAAATCTTCATGTTCACTTATCCAGCCCCAGGTGTCATATTGCAATTTTATCTAGAATTAAAACATCCAGAAATACACCATGAAAAAGATCCAGACAAGGACACAGGAAACTCAAAGGTAAATTCCGTATATCTCCCCAGAGAAGTCCAAATCCAAGCCTAGAATTATAGTCCACCCGTCCAGCTTACCTTTCCATCCATGCCCTCAATGCCTTTTGCAGCTTCTTCTACGGTGGCATATCTTACAAAGCCAAACCCTTTAGAGTAACCTGATACTCTGTCAGTAACCACTCTAGCTGAAAACAACTCAAAAAAAGGACTGTCATGGTTAAAAAAAGAAGAATTTTGAACAAAACTACATGTAGTGAAACACTAAAACGTTTCGTGGCTTAAATTGTATAGGGAGGCAAAACAAACCATTAACAACTTCACCAAACTGGGAAAATGCCTCCCGTAGCTTTTCTGTAGTAGTACGTTTGCTAAGTCCTGAAGGTGTGAGAAATATAGAATATTACCATACCCAACTCAAATATTTGAAGTACCAAGGGATTTAACCAAGATGATGACAATTATTGTACAGAGAAAGCCATAGCATTGCAACAGAAAATTATAAATTATAATAACTCAGCAATTCCCAGCAGCACTACTAAGTGAAAACTGAATCATTTCCCCTCATCTATCAAAACAAGAAAGTCAACTCGTGGTTTTTTCTTGCAACTACCCTAATTGCTCTCAAAAACAAATAAAAGACAGGAAGTACCAGACTACAACAAAATTTGAAGTTCACAAACTTAACATTGAGCAAGAAAGAACAAGTTTATGATATTGCTGCAAAACGAGGGGAAAATCACATCAATTTTACATTTTTACAATAACTAGCTAGTATCTCATTAATTCAACGTCAATATGTATGACTTTCTCATTAGCCGGATCATAACTTCCGCAAAGGATGACTCTATATTACACACACATTCTGAGCATAATCTATTTTGCTTAATGCCCCACAATAGAGACAAAACACAGCACAAGGAATTGTTGCACACAGCACATATATCCAATTATCCAAGTTGATCATGGGCCTTACAGTAAAACACCCATCAGGTCCGATAAATGGCAATTTCCAATAACACAAATCAAAGCTATGGCAGTTCCTGCCTTCCTGGTTTTAAAGAAGCTAAGGGCGTGGGAAATTTGGAGGCTAAACCTTATCAAAGGTTTTAAAAAAAACAGACAGCTAACATGCGCGCGCAGAGTTTACAGCATGCTATGGCTTACATTATTGCAGGAATCTCATTGCAAGGGCTCTTGGCACTAGGCCATGCATTCAACCTCGCAACTTTCAAATATCTTCACTGCAGTCACACTATATGAGCTCTTTTTGTGTAGCTGTAGTTCACACGGAGATAAATTGGGCAAGGAAATCCCTAATTTTGCATAGGCAACTACTTAAGGTTCACTATTCCTTGTATAATTAAAAATTGATTGGTTTAGCATCCATGAAGTCCAACTATAATAGGGCTTTAAGCAGAAGAGGGAAAAGCATCCTTTCTTCATCCTCTCGATTGGTTGGTGAACAAACAAAAACCCAAGACGAAGAAAAAAATTGAAACAAAGCGTATCAACTAAGAGCAGATATCAAATAAGTGGGGTTTGGCCATCTGCTACACTGTCTCC